ACCAATGAAGTATAAGGATCATGTGGCTAGTATGGGAATAGTTCCCATAATGTGATTTATTGTCGTACGGATGACTTTTGTTGTTTGAAACTCTTATTCAATTGTAATGTTATTCTCAATTTCTGGTGTACACATTCAGTTGTTTAGAGAATAACAATTATCCTTGGTTCTGGAATAAACATAGGGTTTATTCATTAAGATGTGTTGTCACACATGGGCTAACATTAAAGGAATAAGATGCATTGTAATACATGGAAGATATTACTCGTTCTTAGAGGACATGTCGCCATGATTCATGTGTCTTGTTTCTTTTCTTAAGCATAAGGTTTTCGTGGATTTGGTTGGGTAATCCGTATGATGAAAATGTTGGGATCAAGTGGGAGAATGTTATATTTATAATGTGATTCCACATTTAGGGATATAGTTTTTGAAATAAAAACTTATCCATTGGGTTTGACCCACGTTTTCTCTTTTAAGTGACGGTTATCCACATACGGTTTTTCCACGCTTCGTACCCCTTCGGTGACAACCGCCCTCTTCGGTAACCGCCTTGATGGGAAGCGGTTTATAAAGACGAACGTTCATTCCATAAGGGCAGACACAAGGTCTAACGAAAACCCTCTCATTCGGTAATACACCATCAGTACGCGAGGGGATTGGGTTAGTAGAGTGCGCCCGTAATCGCTGTCAAATTAACGTTGAACTACCGTGGATTTCCGACGAATGTAAAGTTGAACAATGGCTGGAAGTCAGTTTATTTTCGATCCTGTTTTCCGCATTTGATTCTAATTGTGCCTAAAATTTGTTCTTCAATGCATGATTAGAATCCTTCAGTTTTAGTCTTACACAAAAATCCCAGAAAAGAACCACCGTTTCTACGGCGAGATAGGAATCACCCGAAGTGGCAAAGCCTTCGTCGACTCAACAGATTGAGACGAGCCTTTGCTTGGCCTAGTTTGGTGTGGCTCGATTGATTGATACTCATTTCCGCTTCCCTTTTCTTGCAGAAGCCACTCGTTTCTTTTTCCTTCCCCTTTCCCACCGTCGTTGATGGCCGCGAAGTCCCTCCGATGCCGCCGGGGAGGGGCCTCGGCCAGGGCCGCTTGCTAGCGTCGGTGCCTCCCGGATGACGCCGACGAGTCGCAGGAGAGAGCCGGCGACATGGCGAAAGAGGAGGCGCGTGGCGATGAGTCGGACCACTCCACGAGTTTCGAGAGCTTGTTCCCGCACGATTTCTTTGACTTCCGGAGCTCGGCTACAAGTTTGTTTGACGAGTACGCGAGCTTCGGAGAGAGACGATCTTCAAGGACGAATTCCAGGATGTGTTCAAGAACCCAGGTGAGGTTTTCGGGTTAGGATTCGGGCCGGGTATAGGTACGGGTACGGGTCCCTCCGGTTGGAACGTAGACGACCACTTCCATGACATCGCGCACTTGTTGGGGACGGACCCTCTATAAGCAATGTGAATTTTCTTTGTTCTCGTGTTTTTCAAATCGAGTTCTGTGGTGTTGTTTAGGTTGTGTCGGTCACCGGCCGGCGACAGTTTTGAATCGGCGACGTTTGTTTTGCCCTTGTTCTGGTGTCGAGTTGTTAAGTTTGCCGTCAAGGTAATGGTGGCGGACGAGTTTGTGCTACGTGTTCGCCGTTGAGATTATGTTCGTGTTGGAAACGTGCCATGCGCGGGACGGAAGCATGCATAAATAAAGATGTTTTTTCAATATCATTTCGTGGACTTTTAAAACGAGGACGTATGTGGGCGCATTCGTCTCGCGGTCGAATTGTTTTCTGCGCCCAAGGTTCTTGTTGACATTTGACAAAATTGGTAATTCGTTTGTCGTCCCAGAATACACAAAAAGAGCACACATAGCTGGATGGTCATAACGTTGCCTTCCTTCGTCGAAAGTAACTTCCTAAATTAATTTAGCGTAACACCTTACACGGCATGGAAGTCGTGAAATGAATGAAATTATTTAGTGTACTCGAATCAAATCGCTACTCTGTTGATTTAGTGGCACGAATTTGATCTAGACAGGGTTATTGGGATAAGTTCGAGTTCAAGAGATAGACTCGAGTGTATATTTTTAAAAAGTGTTTTAACTTGGGATAACCATGTTTTTAGCTTTAAAAAAAGCAAAAACAATAATACCAATATCATTCTTCAAACTTTAAAACTGGAAACAGTTTCCTTGTTCCATCTATAAACAAATTTCCAATCGGACCTATTCACTAGCATGTTCACAGAAATTTCGCAAGGGCCAAAACAAGCCCTTATGCTCCTTCGAATATATGTCTAAGGACGAAAAAAATAATCAACAGAACCCAAAAGTCTCCATGTCCTTACTATGGCTTATTTCCCACATAGTGACATAATTAAGGAAATTATGTTTAGAAATCATATATTGATGTGAGTGAGAGAGAGAGGCGGCCAGAGTCATGGTTAATGGCTAGAGGTCGAGTGGCTATAGAGGGCTTGGTCGGATTTAACGTTTTGTTCAATATGGCAATTAGAGTTCTGAACGTGAATTAATTGGATGATTATACTCGATGAATTTTGAAAGAGATACTGCGAGTCTATTCAAGGAGGGTAAGCTAAATCCATCCAATTCGTCCCCTAGTCGTAAAAGTTGTCAAATCCCTGATGCAAATATAAATCTTACATTGAAACCGCTCTATTTTTGAACAATTTTCTTCATAACCCCTCTACTTTTTACCCTAGTGATGACTCAAAGTGCAGCTATTTCAAACCAGTCAACCTCAACACAAAAGTACTTCAATACAGGCGTTATACCAAACTCACATGTCACGTGAACTTGCCCTACACCATGCCTGATGCTTCACATCATCCAGAAGAGAAATGTTTAAAAGAGAAAAGACAAGGAAAGAAATCCAATCGCTTCCGTAAATCTCTCCCTAATTCTGTAAATCTCAATTCATAACATTCTGGTTTTCTTTTCACTAAAAGATTGCACATCCATGCATGCAATGTGCTTCGTTAGGTCCCGACGCTCACAACCTCCATAATGATGCATCCATTTGGAGTGTCCCACCTCCAAAGAATGATATCGCCAACCTTGATTTGTCTCGCCAGGAACACATCACTCAAATCGAGAAAGTAATGGCCGGTCCTGTGACACTTGGCGAAGTATACATTCAAGCCGCGGAAATACAAAGGCCAATTCGCGCAATTGTTGTTGCCACACCTGCCGCCATGATTACATTCTGTGTCGTCGCGTATCATCACGTAGTGCCTATGGTCTGCCTGTATGTTTTGCACGACGGACGTTGGCCAGTGACGGAACATGTTATCAAAGGCTACGCGGTCCCTGACCGGCAGCTTCTCCATCCCAAGATCGAACTCATCGATGACCTTATAGAGGGTCGGGTGGTCGTGAGAGTCAGACCGGGGGAGCGAATCTTCATCCCCCATCTCCACCTGGTCGCGTTCGACCTCGTGGGGAATGTTCGGGGCCCTCTCCGCGCCTTCAACAGCTTTGCTCGGGAGGAGGTCACAGCATTACAAGGTGTTCTTCATCTGAGCTTGGTTGTTTGGGTCCGAAGATTCTTGCGGGGAGGATGATCCGGCGCTGCTGGACTCTGGAACATCGTTTGTTGGGGAAGAGTTGTGCATTTTCTTGATTTTCTTGCTGTGGTTATTTGTTGGTGGGAGGGTTTCGATGGAGGAGGTGGAAAGGCCGATCTTGATGGGAACAACTCCTCTGCAATATGGAACGAGCATGAACGGTGAGCAACACCGATGTTTAATCTTCTTTGTTAAGCGAAACAGATCACAAAAAACTGAAGAGAATGCAAACCCTAACCGTAAGTTTTTTCCTCTGTCATATGACTTTTGTGTTCGAGAAAACCAACCAGAACTATGAATGCTCGTGCAGCTCGAACAATCTGGCCTGGTCACTTTGAAATGTTCCACGAAATTGGCTCTCTTCTTCGAAGATGAAGAAGAAAGATGAATGTCAATGAATTTACTTATGTAAAACTCTTATCTTTCTTTCGTACGGTCAAATTCTTTTCTAGATAGAGACCGCTATAACAGATAAGACCAATCAGCAGAACGTCCTTCCCCTTTCACTTTTATTTTCTTGTGCGATTTCTTCTGTTGCTTAGGAGTCCCACCGAGGTAGCCGACCTTGGTATTTATCTACAATAAATAAATACCTGCAATTAGGACTGATATACATTATCCATTCGGATCGGATTTTGTACACGGCTTCAAACTCGAGATATAATTTGACAAAATCTTTGATTAAAGAAGTCGAGGGCGAATCTATTATATACACTTTCGCTTTACACGATTTCACGGATACTGCTAGGGTTAGTGAAATCATTTCTTCGCGAGATTCACGTTTTTATGAAGCCGTCATTTTTCTGTTTTAATTTTAATGTTATCACAGCATGTTAACTTTAGATCATTGCATTCTAGCAAAAAAAAACTTTAGATCATTGTAAGTTCAGAGATTTGTTTACATAAAAAAATCATTTAATGCATTTCATGTTAGAAATAGTATTCACCAGTTCTGTAAGTTTTAACGATGTTTACTGATTTAACTAATTTCCCTATCTTTAGTAGTTTCATTAATTTCATTTAATGTTTGATAAGTGTAAACGCAATTTATTTATAAGACAAACGGTTCTACGTCATTCAATCATCTAATAAATGGTATATATAATTTTTACATGATATTTTCTTCGGTTAATACCACGAAAAATCCCAAACCGGCACACATGAGACAAATTTACCCCAAATTAATTTTTTGACCATAAAAAATCCCAAACTGGTACCAACAAAGTGTGCTGGATCCTATATATTACATCATGCTACACGTAAGTAAAGACTAACTCTCCAAAGCAAAGTAAAGACTAACTCTCCAAAGCAACTTCATTAATAACATCAACCTGAAGTACACGAAAAGCATTGATCATGGAACTTAGCCTTAAAGCAGCGAGAAGACGATGACACGCAGACACCCATCAGATCTCCTTCATCTTCCAAAATCATTCAATTAATCACAAGGAGAAAGAGAAAACAGAAAATTGATAGGCCGCAGTGAGAAACGCTAAGAACTCCGATATAATCAATAAATCATGCAAGAAAACCACAGCATTATCATACCAGTTCATAAGCAAACGAATAAACGAATTCAAGTGCACGATCAAGTATGCCAAACACGACGATACAGGAGTCGACAGCAATGCAAGGCCACGACGTTCAACCCTAACTAATGGGGAGAACGCGAGAGTATCGTAACAATCGAGAGAGCCTAAGCCGACAACCGAAACTCGTCCTTGTTCCTCTCGGCCAACGGCGATGCCGCGACTTTCTCTGCAAACCCATCCTCGCACGTCGTCGAGGATTCCATCACTGAGCTCAAGTCGATGTTTACGTCCCAGTGCTTCTTGTACTTGTAGGGTCTGATCGACTTTTTAAGCGTCGGGATCGCGTCGGAGTACAGCTCCAAGCAATCTTGCAAGCATGGTTTGATGAACGGATGCATCTTCTCGCTCTTCAGAAGCTTCTTGGTGCAAGACCTCGTGTCGGTCACGTTGTGCCGCAGCAACTTGATGGAGATGAGGCCGAGGCCCCGGAGGTCGGCGAGGTGGCTGTTCAGGTTCGACTCGGGTGACAAGACGCAGAACTTGTAGCTGACGTTGGTGGGGTCTTCATGGGCGCATTTCGTGCACGTTTCGTGGATTACGCTGTTGGCACCGCCATCTGCAGATGCAGCGTGGAGGGAGGTGAGGAAGGAGACGAGCAGGAGGGAGAGGGAAGGACAGGGACTCATTTTTCTTTTTTCTTCTTGAATGAGTCTGGATCATGTCCCAAAAGTGGAGCAATGATTTATTTAGAAGCTAATCTTTGCATTTTGGTGGGTACATATACATGCGATGATGCCAAATTGGAGCAGTAATATATACCAGGCCTTTTTGTACTTCGTGTTTTACATAGATTTAATTTAGACATAACTTTTGTACTCCGTATTCGATGACATATGTCTCTCTTTTAGCATGACATATATCAAAGCCTACAATTGTTTTTTGGTTGATAACAACTAGATCACGCTTCTGATGATATACATTATCACTTGCTCGAACCCTATGAAGTTTTGCGCTTCCAATTCTGGTTGTGTATTTTGTCCATGCTTAGCAGATCACCATTAAAGTCTTAAACATATTGTTCGGATTTTAATTCAGTCTTAAACCTTTCAATTTTACCAATTGAGTCATAAACCTTTTGATAATTCGCCAATTTAGTCATTTCGATCAATTTTGGCCGGAAATCGCTGACGTGGATGCTCTCCGTTCTACGTGACGGGCCGGTGCTAACGTGGACAATTTTTGCAATTTTTAAAACTTTCTGGATTTATTTTCTTTTTTTTTCGTTCTTTGCCTTTTTGATAACCTCTAGAGAGTTCTAAAATAAAGATTAATCATGAAGAAAAATATTGGATAGCTCAGGAGGCCGTTTCATGATAATGATGCCATTCTTTCTCATATTAACCTTTTTTTCGATGTTCTTAGGTAAATTTACAAAACAAACGCGACGCATGCAAGAGATTAACAAGCTCAAAGGGCATATTTAGTTCTAAAACTGGAAGCGAGTGAAATTAAGCCATGGGCTAGTCATCATTCATTTCTAGTGGCCTTCGTCGCCGCTCCGCCCTAGGAGAGTTCTCCACCCATCGACGCCGGATCGCCGATTCGAAAGCGGATCAGCTCGTGGCCCGGCATGTACTTCTAGCCTGTCACCAACGCCTTGTGGCAAGCGAGATCCAAAATATTCGAGGAGGTCGGCGTTGCCAGTGCGAGCAAGAAAGCTGTGTCGCCGGAGAGCGAATTGGTTCCGAGGGGTCCGTCTAAGAGCTGGACGAGCATTTTCTACAAGATGTCTAGGGATTTTGTGCTAAGTGAGCAGTGTAGAAATCCTTGGAATGAGATCAGGATGGTGAAGCAGGTGGAAGACCGAGCTTTGAACAGCTATTGGATGGTGATTTTCCCTGGTTCTGAACGTGGTGCAATCTGTTCTCTGCGATGTTTCTCCAGCTTAAGTTTCTCGGTCTAAAAGTGAGTTTTGTACGTTAAACTTTTAAATGAAATGAGTCTTTTGTTTTCCAAATGAAAATTTAGCACTAGTTCAAGAAGAAGTGAAGGTCTGGAGGAAAATCTCTAGACAATGAGCAGTAAAATTGACCGATCAGAATTAGGAAATATATACTAAGGAAATATTAAGAGAAACAAATATATAATTTTAAAACATTACCTCAATGGGAATAAAGAGTAATAAATAGTAAGATTAATTCAACGAGAATAAGAAAGTGATGCTATCTATAATTACACGTAAAGTTGACTCGGGTCTATTGTGCATGATAAGTAATGGGATGTATTTACAAACAAACAAAGAATCTATTGGATAAATATGGGGAGAAGAATCGGGATAAACTATCATTGCAGTATAATATACCGTAGAGAGCAAATAATTACTCAAAGGAAAAAAAGAAATAGATCGAACGAGCCAGTCGAATTAAATAGATTTGGTTCCTGACGAACTCGACTCTTGTATAATATGAAATCGGGTTATGTTCGGTAAGAGTAAAGCGATCGTTATACGTAATGCAAATGAACTGACAATAATCTATCATCTTTGAAGCGATATGTCCTTTTACAATTTCATAATTATCATTACTATTGGAATCCTAAAAAGAGTAGTATTTTCATTCAAATAAGTGGAATGTGTAAGACTAGAGAAGCAGTCTTGATAAACATAAATTTTCAAAAGAAGATTATGTGTAATTTTGTGAAACTTTAATCCAACATAAGTGAAATTAAGTGAAGCTACTCCAAACCGGTTACCGCTTGAGGAGGTGTAAACCCTAGACGACCTTCCTTCGCCTCTATTTACTCCGAAGCCAACTCTCATCCTTCTCCCTCCCGCATTTCTCTCTTTCGCACGCAAACCAAACCAAACCAAAGCCAGATAATCTTAATCTCTCTCTCTCTCTCTCTCTCTCTCTCGCCCTCCGAAGATCAGCGTTCGTGTCGAAGATGGCTCCGAAGAACCGGATTCGGATCTCAAAGGATGTCAACCTCAACGATGACCAGGAGCAGGAGGATCCTCCTACGGCTTCGCAGAAGGACCGTCTCCCTGGGGCTTCGAATCAGAGGGGGATCTGGAAGGAGCATGCTAGGGCTGCGAAGTGGAAGGGGATCTCGAAGGTGCGCGAGGATCCTCCTACCTCTTCCAGCGCTGGTAAGCCTCTCCCTCATTCCAGATCTCAGGTCTGATGAATAGGAACTCTAACGAACGGGCCTGTTTTTTGCTCGGTTGAATCGTCTTTGCCTCTTTTAGGGTTTATAGGAACGTGTGATTCTTTCTGCGCTGTTGCGCTTTTGCCTGTAAGCTCGAGTTTGATTGCCACGTTTTGTGATGCTCGCGTGTTTCTGGGTCCTAAACAAAGAGGTAAAACTGATGGGTGCTCTTTGCTCTGCAAACGCATGCATAAACCTTGCTTCCAGTGGGGGTTTTCAGTCACCCATGCTCTTTCCCCGCTTCACTTTTATTTTCCTCTAGGATTGATTGCAAGATAACATCCGGCATCTGCTAATGTGCAGAAACAACCATGAAGCGGCGGCATTCCTGTTCACATCCCAGTTCTTCCCTTGGAGTCTGCGATGTTTGTGAGGAACTCCTTCCAGAAATTTGTGGTGTGCCATTTGAAATTACGCAGCGGTGGCTGGTATGACATCTTCTTAACCTTACGCTAATTAGAGATTTTGAGCGATGTTTTGCTTGTAGTAGTTCTTTCTTCCCTTTAAGGAATTGAACGACGATCGATCAGCCCGTGGCTTAATTTCACTCCCTTCCGGTTCTAAAACGGATTAGGCCGTTTAAGCTCCCTGATCTCTTAACACGCATCTCGTTTGCTTCGCCGGTTTAGCTAAAGAAAAACATAGAGAGAGAAGAAAAAGGCCATTCGAGAAAGAATGGCATCATTCTCATGAAACGACCTCCTAATTTATAAATGTGCAAACACAGCCGTTTAATATTTTTCTTCGTGGTTAGTCCTTATTCCAGAACTCTCTTGGGGTTATCCCTGTTAGATGCCCGACAATTAAGAAAGGGTTCACATTCCACTGACGATAGCATTCGATTAGCAAACTTATAGATACTCCACTCAATGCAAAGAGTTTTGTGCCGGTCATCGTTTATTCTGTTGCCCTAGCACTGGATTATCGACATTTCGTGTTTGCGTTTGTCATCGATATTGATTTCTCATATCCTTGAGTTACTAAACCATCCTTATACGCTAGCCTTCCAACTTTTTGTTTGTATAAAGTTAGTTGCGTGCTTAGCTTTAAAATGACATTTCGATCGATGATATAGCTGTGCATCAACTTCATTGACAGTTTGCGCCTCCCTTTTAGGCATTTGAGGCCTGTATTTTTTGTGTCTTGCCCTTCTCTGTCGGTTCTTTTACTTCATTACTTTCCTGGAGTGCTTCTCAAACAAAAAGTATGACTCTGCGATTCGTATCTGTCTGAGTGAAGTTTTCTTTTCAGGGAAGAATTTCAACCGAAGATGTTCTTTGGGTTTGGCCTTGACCGAGGAAATCTGTGTCCCACCTTATCTCTGTTGGAATACTTCCCATCCTAGAGCTTCATTGTGCACCTCAATACTTAAAAAAGCTAGGAAGGTTGATCGGCTATTTTGCAGTAATGTCAAGTCGGAAGAATTGGATATTCCTCCTTTTAGCTTCGTGTTTACGCGTCTTCTATATGCCAGAAAAGGGTGAACTTCCTTTGCGCTTGTAAGTAAAGATGAGGGAAGAAGTTTGTTTACGTTTTACTGATTGCCATGTCGTATTCTAAATGAGCCCTGCCCAGAATTAGCATTCAACAATTGCTCGATTTTCCATCTTAGTGGTGATTCTTTTCCGTCAGAGGAATTCAAGAGAACAGATCTGTGTCAGAATAGCATGAGTCCAGCACCTCTGAAGTTGTTTCATATGTTAAAAAGTCCCGTCTTGCCTTTTGTTAGACAGTGTAGTCCAACATATAAAAGTTCATATCAATTTGATCAATACTTGTAAAATAATCTTGAACTGTGCGGATCATGATGTTCAGGGCTTTCTCTGAACTAGTTCGGGGTGACCGTTACGATGTTCTTTTCGCAAGAGGAAATGTCTAGCTTTTGGTTTGTCGTATATGCATAGCTTTTACCATTCTTACCTAGCTGGATATGATGTATTAAGAGCGAGCTTGTGCATGCCGGATGAATTGCTTGGTTGCGGAATACAGACTCGAAAAATTTGCTACGTCACAAAAAGCTTTACTTCTTGATCCTTTTACCATGGGCCCAGTACGTAAACAAGATAAATAAGTGTTGGCTCATGGCACCAACGTAGAACGAAAACTCATCGGTCCTCACAGCATTCTAAACCCGAAGGAAAGGGCCTACCTTGCCGGGTCTACTCTTCCTCGTGTTTCTATTGGAAGTAACAAAAAATCTTTTTACCATGCCTGAATTTTCTGCTTCTGATCAAAGCCAAAAGCTAATTGAGAAAACCCCCCAAGTTGAACACCTACGTTTTATTTAGGATCCTAAATTATCAATGAAATATAAAGTAATTAATTAAAGCATGAACACATGGGATCGGAACTTGTCATAAATATGTTCTTTAATTTCTTGTCATAAATAGCGCGAATTCTACTGGGCCGATAGATTTTGCTCCTCAAGACAGTGTGTAGAAAGCAAGAAAGGAGATACAACATGTCGCGACCGAACTCCCGAGCCCTTTTTTAAACGACATGCAAAAAAGGGGGGGCTCGCCTGGTACGTGCTAAGTCTAAGTTCGGGACTTAACTCGGGCTCTCCCAAGCCCATACCATATCGCGACTTAGGGTTTAAGTGTTTAACATGCAAGTGGTTTATATCAAGGAGTCGCCACTAATCGATTTGGGGTGGGTCGATTAGAAACCCAAATAGGGTGATGGGAGAATCACCCTATTCCTACGAACCAGAGATTAAATGAGTTCGGGGACTTGGTTACACTAGTTGGATAACTAATGCCCTTTCGGTACCATTTTACCCTATTCATTTCTGAAAACATTTGTCAGGCAATTTGGATTGATTTTAGGACCTTTCTCCTAACATGTGAGGTGATCAAGCGAGTGCATAATCAGGAACGATTAGCAGTCAGGAACACAACAATGCATGCAGCCTAAGGTTCTAACCTTAACTAAGTCAGATGACATTCAAAACACAACAGCTCATGCAATTGTATTAAAAAACATGCATAATAATACAGCGATAATAAAAGCTAACATGCAAAATACTACCGCGCAACCTCAGGCTTGTCTAATTTAAACAAGATAAAAATATGCATAATAATACTATAATAAATTAAACATTTAGAATATATCACACAAATTTTTTTTTAAAATTTTTTTTTTTAAATTTTTTTATAATAATTTTTTTTTTCGAGAAAAAAAATAATAATAATAATACAGAAGAAAAGAAAAATAAAAAAAAATTAATTTTTTTTAAAATTTTTAAAATTTTTTATTTTTTTAAAATTTTTTTTTAAATAAAATAATAATATAATATTAACCGGGTCGGGCGGATCCGGGTCGGAACCGACCCGGGTCAACGGATCCGACCCGGGCGTTGACCCGGGTCGGATCGGTCAATCCGGATCGGGTCGGAGCAGGCCCAGTCAACGGATCCGACCGGGCGTTGACTCGGGTCGGAATCGGTCAATCCGGATCGGGTCGGAGCAGGCCGGGTCAACGGATCCGACCGAGGCGTTGACCTGGGTCGAAACTGTTAATCCGGGTCGGTCGGAACCGACCCGAGTCAACGGATCCGACCCGGGCAATCCGACCAGAACAAACAGACCGCGGGGGGAGGGGCGCGGAGAGGCCAAAATTGGCCGTCCGTAGGCCACGAGGCCGAGTGGCAAGCCCCCAAATCGCCCAGGCCCAGGGTGCCTGCAGCCGTGCCACTCACCTAAACCGCCGTCGGATCACCGTTCGCCGGCCGGCGACGGAACAAAAACCAACCTGGTTGAGGCATTTCGTCGAACGCCTGGCGGGCGCGTGGAAAAAGGGGGGATTCCGACCTCCTCCGGCGATCCGGTCGACTCCAGCCGGCTTGGGTTCGCCCGGACGGTGGCGAGGGACCGGGACGAGGACGTCGGTATGGGCCGGGATTCGCGCGAAACGGCCGGCGTATGAGTCCGGCCAAAGCAGAGGCAAAAACGGGGGGAAAACGGGGGAGCTTCTCGGCCGAGGGGGGCTCACCGGTCGACGGCGCGTCTGGATGGCTTCCGGCAGGTCTGGCGGTGTCGACGACCGCTGCTGGTTCTTCTTTAGCTCCGGCGTGGCCTAGGTTTGCTCTCTCTTCTCTGTTTCACTCTCTATTCTCTCTCGGTCTCTCTCGGTTTTTCTCTGAAAATCGCCGACCCACTCTCTCTCTCTGTGTCGCCGTCGTCGGCTCGGCGACGGGGATGGATGGCTAAGGCGCGGTGGCTGCCGGAGGCTTCCTGTCTCTCCCGGCTCACGCTCTCACGCTCCCTCTGTATTTTTCTAAAAAATGGCCGACCGCGGCCTCTCTCTCTCTCTCTCGGCTATTATAGCCGGCGGCGAACAGGCTGTGCCTCCGCGTCGGGCGTGACGATGAGCTGCACCGGCCTACTGTCCGCGACTTTCGCGGCCATAGTAGGCCGGTGCAGAGCAGAGGAGAGCAGAGGGGGGGCCGAGAGCAACAGGGAGGCGAGAGGGAGGAGGGGATAAGGGAGAAGGGAAATGGGGAGGAGCGGGCCCAGCCATTAATGCTAGTCCCGTCGGCGTGCTCATCAGGCCCCTCCTGCAGCCGAGGCAGCGGTGAGAAGCGGCGCCGCCGTGCGTCACAGCTGCCGTCGGTGGCGAGAGACGAACGGAGACGGGGAGAGCGGAGGGGAGAAGGAAGAGGGAGCTGGGCGGGCCGGGCCCGGTCCGCGCGGAGGAAAAAAAAAAGGAAACGAGGTGGGCCGCGCGGGAGGAAAAAGGAAGAAAAGGGTAGGAGTCGGCCCGAGGCCAGGCCCCGAATCGATTTCGTTTTTTTTTTTTTTTTTTTTTTTTTTTAAAATTTTAAGAAAATATGCTCTAATAGGCCTTATTAATGCACATATGCCTAATGCTATATGCAATGCATTTAAATAGAAATATTTTTTTTGTTTTAGGAATTAAAGAAATTAACTCCTAAATTTTGCAATTAATTTTGGGCAAATTAAAAATAGGTGTCAACAGCTGCCCCTCTTTGAAGGTGAGCTCGCAGAGATTGAGCTCGCAGAGGTTACGTTCAAAGATAAAATGGCACCTAAATTTGGCCCATGCATGCTCAATGAATGTTATTTTTGGCGAGACTGGTGTCCCATTTTTATGATGCGATATAAGATGATGCATGCTAAAGCAAATAAAAACATACCTGGGGCTACTTACCTTGCCGAAGGGTAGAGTAATTCCAGATAGTTGATATTGTGTGTCGAGGATCCGAACCTGTCTTCGGTCGCCTTGACGGAAAAAATGGTTTGTCTAGGACCCGAACCTATCTTCGGTCGCCTTGACGGGGATTGTTTTTGTCTAGGACCCGAACCTTTCTTCGGTCGCCTTGACTGGGGAAATCGCTTGCCTAGGACCCGAACCTATCTTCGGTCGCCTTGGACTGGATTTTGTCTGTCTCAGGACCCGAACCTTTCTTCGGTCGCCTTGGTCGAGCTGGATTTTGTTTTGACAAAGTACGGGGTCCTCGCCGAGGATTTGACGGTTTGCCTGGTGGGTCCTCGCCCGACGGGTCTTGAAAAGGCTCAAACGATGAGCACACGGGGTCCTCGCCCGAGGATTTGATTGTTTGCACGATGGGTCCTCGCCGCCAGGTCTTGAAAAAGCTCAAATGATGAGCACCTGGGGGTTCTCGCCCGAGGATTTGATTGTTTGCCTGGTGGGTCCTCGCCAGCAGGTCTTGAAAAAGCTCAAACGATGAGCACCTGGGGGTCCTCGCCCGAGGATTTGATTGTTTGCCTGGTGGGTCCTCGCCAGCAGGTCTTGAAAAAGCTCAAACGATGAGCACCTGGGGGTCCTCGCCCGAGGATTTGATTGTGAACAGAGGGAGTCAGTTCCATGCTCAGGAGGGTGAACAACGGGGTCAATCCGATGTTCAGAGGGGGTACCATAACAATCATAGGTACCTGGATTTTTGGAACCGGCATGGGTAAAATGTACTTTACCTGGGCACGTTCCTGCCTCTTAAGGCGTGTCTCCTGTCAGACAAGTTTTTCTTTGTACAAAGACATACGTATTCATCGGAGAAATAGACAATTGAGGCTATTCTTGAATATCGTATGAAATATCTTGACCAGCTAGTCAAGATGCTTTTCTTTTTCAAAGGAACCTTCTGGGTAGTTTGAAAAGAATTCTGATGAAATACCTGGGATTTCTTACCCGGAGGTTTGATGTATCATCTGCTGAATACCCGACCTTTTTCAGGGTATCTCTTTTGTGATGATAATCAGGGCTTCTCCAGTGCCCGAATTTTCGTGTTCTATCACTGGGGATTAGAACTCTGAGCTGCAAAAGCATGCTGTGTCAATTCCACTTGGGGAACGGAGAAAATTTTTGTGACATCTTTGGAGATGCTCCAAAGGTCATATGTTCTTTGAGTCTTTGAAGATATTTTACCTGTCAAAGAGGGTTAGTGCAAACATGCATGCATTCATCAAGGATAGGCAAGCTATGCTATTCCAGAATGCGCATTTGAAAGTTCATGCATGATAATTTTGCCATGTTTGCATCACCAAACATCCACCGAGGG